GCAGGCAGGCAGGCAGGCAGGCAGGCAGGCAGGCAGGCAGGCAGGCAGGCAGGCAGGCAGGCAGGCAGATAACATCATATATCGTCATATATGTTAGCTCTGGAACTAACGCTGTTAGCTGTGAAGCTAATACCATTAGGTTTGGTGCTAACATCATGCATTCTCTGGAGGTAATTCAAGTTCAGCTTTCTTTATTGTCATTCACATCACACGTGGTACATGAGGTGGAACGAAATTGTGTTCACAAGGTCCCAGTTACACCCAAAAATATCAAAAATATAAAGTATAAAAAGAAACAGTATATAAGGATCTAAGATATACCAGTAGACTAAGATATACGCTAAACGATACGCTAAACAATACGCTAAACACTAAAAATGTAAAATAATACGGTTTATTAACCGCAGCCCGGCAACTACTGTCATATATTTTAAGTCTGGAGCTAACGCGATAGCTGAGTCATTTCTCCATTCTCCTCTCTGTCCTTGCTCTCCGGTTCAAATGAAAGGGCTGCACATCAGATATTGTCCAACATGAATATTTAAGCTCAGTGGAGATTGCACTGGAGCCACCTGTCTATGTCATTTACTCAGCGTGCATTACAGCGTGAATAAAATGGCGTTGTTCGTGTGTCGTGTTTTTTTTTTTTTCCCCAAAAATTATAAAAAGTTTAACAGCCTTAAGTATTTTTACAGTCTCTTTGTAGCTGAAGTAATTGTTTATCAAACAAGGTTATTGTTCCAAAAAGTCTGAGATCCTTCTTTGAACCTGTCAGTAGACACCAAATACTTTCACCCACCAACATAAGGCAGTTTCGAAAACGTTTCGTCTGGTAGTAGCTGAGAGTCATTCACAGCGCACATGCTGAGTGCTAACAGTTTACATGAACTTGGTGAAATTCCACAATTCAAGATTTCACCTAAAGTGTCTTCAAATCGATCATTTTTCCCCATTAAATCAATTAATCTTTGGTTAAAACTCTTGCATGAAAGGTGGTGGACGATACGCATTCCTTCGAAAACTGCTGTTGTCCGTTTCTAATGTTGCTTGTGCTCGTGTGCAGTTTTCAGGGAGCCCTACACTGTGCGGGTGGCGGACCAGCACTCAATGCGGGGCAACGTAGCAGTGTTCAAGTGCCTCATCCCTGCTGCCGTCCAGGAGTACGTCAGCGTTGTGTCCTGGGAGAGGGACACCGTTTCCATCGTCCCAGGTAGGAAACTCAGTGAGTTAGTCTTGAGTGGGCACTTTAAGTGCTCGATTTAGAAACGTCTCTATGTTTTTACGGGTCTGATTCTGAGTGGGGACGATTTGATGCACAGCTGAACTTTTAATGTGCGTATTCAGTCCACTCACTGTTCTGGATCACACGTCAAGTCCCTCTCCTTCATCCTCCTCCTCCTCATTTTTCTGTCCCACCTTTCTCTGCTGTCTTGATTTTTTTTCTTGAGCTCATGTCAAGTCCTGCATGTAATGGTACCTGACACCAAAGAAACAAGACAAAGACCCTCTCCTCACTCCGCGTGCTGCTCCACAGCTTCTGCTCATCAGATCTATTTTGGTCCTCTCCCTGCTCATCTTTCCACCATGTCCTTGAAGAACAGGGCCACAATTAGATGCACGGGATGTCAATAGGACCGTGGCCTCACATACATCTTCATTAACCTCATTTGTGTGGGAGAGGGCCTGAGAACAGGAGACAGAGAAACGTTCAGTTACGATTGAATGTCTATTTATGATACCAGTTGTTTTATTTTGATTTTAGGATGTGCACGTTTTTTTTTTTTTTTTTTATTTAAAGCCTCTAGAAATGTGGGGGGGGGTGGGGGGGGGGGGGGGGGGGGGGGGGGGGGTGGGAAAGGAGGGTAGTAGGGCAAGAACGGCCTCAGGTCCTGGGACAGATGGTGTTGTATTTTGTGTATGCAAAAACACAGATATCACTTCACACCACTACTGTAGAACCAAATTCTGAAAAAAGTTTGTTTTGAAAACTATAAATAAAAACACAAACCTAAATTTATTCATATTGGAATATAAATATCAAATATTTTGTCCTTTTTTTTTTGGAGTAATTTTGAATTTTATGGCAGCAGCACATCAGAAGGAACCTGTGACTGAGGCAACAAACGGCTGTAAAGCAGGGGTGTCAAACTCATTTACAAAAGGGGCCAAAATTAAAACCTTTTTCAAACTAAGGGCCAATTTCAGAATCTACATTAACTCAAATCAGATATCCAACCTCTTTTCTTGGTCACAGGTTCCTCAACAAGAGTTTGGTTGGTCTCATTTGATGTTCTCTGTTGTGCTTTCAACATTATAATCAAAGATTACTGAAAAAAATCAAGAAATAGAAGTATTTTATGTTTCACATTTCATCTTGGGGGCCATATAAGATGTCCACGAGGGCCGCATTTGACCCCGGGGCCTTGAGTTTGACACATATGCTGTAAAGGGAAGTAAAGATGGGCAGAGGTTCACCAGTCTGGAAAAACTGTTTCAAAATAGTGGAACAATTTTAGATTAATGTTCCTCAATGGATGTTTGAACCTTTAATTGTTCCCCGAAGCTAAAAGGGGGAATTGGAAATACCCTCATGTGTCCATCTGTCCATCCATGAATATTTTGAGCATGATAACTTGAAAAATAAGTGAGGTACTCACTTCCATTCTGTTCTGTGGCTATATCTAGGCTTAAGAAATATCCCTACCAAAAATTAGGTTGCAAAGTCAAAATCCAAGATGGTCACTACCATATTTAAACCAGCCACCCTGATCTTTTAGGGGAACTAGACTTTTTAATGGGGGTTGAGGACATCTCACAAGTTTTTAAATTGCACGTCGACTAGTCGCAGTCAGTGATTGTGTCACGTGATCAGCGCAGGGCCGGATTCTTCCAAGCAGATGGAAGGTGAGGAGCAGTCCAAGACTTACCAAACAGGTAGAAATTCATCAATAGTGTGCAAGTATTTCACTAAAGATGATTCTTCCAGTTATACTGTCTGTGGTGGAGCCCACCACCGCCCGCCCCACTGTTTTAATTATTTTATTTAATCCACGGTGGGATCACACCACCACCCGCCCGCTGTTTTTATTTTTGTTTTATTTAATCCACTAAATTAAAATAAAAATCAAGACGGGGGCACACCACCGCCAGTAGTGGATCCACCACTACCTGCATTGCACTACTTGCATTCTCCACCGACCAGCGCGGAGGTGGATAAAAACGGGGCGCACCCCCGCCGGTGGACCACCACCGCAATGGTCTATTTTATGTAGTGGATTAAATAAAATAAAACTAACTTTTGCAGCTTAATAATAGTTTTGGTCTTCCTGTGACGTATTTGCAGTATGATAAATGGTAAATATACACTCCCAATCAGCACAAAAAAAGAAACTGTCCAGATGACCTGACTGAAAAATGTTGGATACACTCCCAATGTTTTGTTGTTCTTTTAATTTTTGGTAAATAATAAATGACGTTTTTTTTTGTTTGTTTTTTGTGAATAGCATCTTGAGTTCCTATGACGTCACATCAACTAGTCGACGTTGACTCAACATTTATCATGTTGAACTCGACTTTTAAAAATATGTAGTCGTTCAACCCCTACTTTCCAGTTCTTATATTGCTTTAAAGTATATTTTCCTCAAATGGTTGGGGTGGCCAAATATTAATCTATAGGGGTCAAGGCCACCATTGGCCACCCCCTGGCTCCTCCATTGCTCCTGGTGGTGGATAAAATTGCTCCCTCCACTCACCAGGATCTGTGACTCTGCCTTGGACAAGAAAAAACTAAACTAAATGAAACTACCTCTGTTTAAAACGACAAAACTTTCACTACTCAAATCCCTCATTTAAAACTTTGTGTAAATATTGCATACTGCAGGTTTTAGACGTCTCTTGTTTCCAGAATACATTTAATCATTCTCACCTTTCTGTTTTTTCTGATTTGGTTTGTTGTCATCACGTGCTTTTATTTTCTGAGGCACAGTTGTCACTTTTTTTTTTTTTTAAACACAGTGGCACATTGGTTCGATTCCCGAACATACGAAGACGATCTTGTGAGGATGTGTCCTTTGTGTCTTGTCTCAGTGTGTGTCTGCGCGCCGTCGTCAGGCTGCTGGGTGTAATTAGGAGTATATAGGTCAGCTGATGAGCAGTGAGTGTGAGGATCGGAGGCTGAGCATGACGAGCTGCTCACAGAGCGAAGCAGTTGGTTTTTGTAAACTCAGAAATGGAGCAAAGACTCATTTTGTTTTAACTTTTTGTCATGAGATGATTGTGTAAACAGCTCGTGATCTGAACTGCTGCCTGGAGGCATCCAGTCTAAAACAGACCCAGCTGAATGCCTGGGAGCATATTTATGGCTTGTCTGCTGTGCGCGTGTGTTCATTTGTCTGTTAGCAAAATATCTCGCATATACCAGTTCACGAGTTTTAGTGAAACATTAAAATCAATTGTTGGATGTGCTTCTACAACCGATTACCTTTTGGAGTCAAGCCAATTTAAGATGGCCGACATAGATAGTTGAACATAAACTGGGATAACTCAGACAGCTTTACAGAGACTGAGCTAAAGTTTGGTGTGGTAGTAGCTGAGAGCCTCCCAACACACACCATGGTTGCATTAGATATTTATGTAAAGCTTTCCCATTACCTTAGAGATAACTTTGCCTGTCTGTTAGCAAAATATCTCATAAATCACTGAACAGATTTTAATGATTTTTTTTTCATAATGAGTGAATGTCATTCTACAACTGATTAACTTTTACAGACAATCAGATTCAAGATGGCCACCTTAGAAACACAAAAGTGCTCAAATTCAGTCAGTTTTACAGAGATTGAGCTAAAAGCTGGTGTGGTAGTAGCTGAGAGTCATCCTCAACTCATGGTTTGAGTGATCTCACAACATCAGTTTCAGGGTTTGACCAAAAGTCAGTAAAACTCTGGCCTAAAAGGTGTCCTGTAAATAATGCTGGATGTTTAATGGCTCCTTTTCGTAACCGTCTCTATGTCTCTGGTGCTGCTTGGCCGGTATGACTCAGAGTGAACAGACCAAATGAAGACGTGAGAATTAAAATTGATTTTGTGACTGAAGAGCTCCAAGTGTGAGTGAGTGGCTGATTGCTTGTCAACATCTGCGGAGCTCGTCTTCAGAAGGCGCAGCAGGAGGTGTTGTAGTAGTTGATCCGGGCTCGGTAAAAGTGAACATGTGGGTTTATTTCTTCACGTCGTCAAGCTCTAATTTTATCACCTTACATGTTACATTCAAGGTGGGAAACTGTAACGATTCACCTCGGGGCCACAACAGGTATACAGTTTGTAAAACTGAGATTTGTGGGGAACAAAACTACATACATTTAAGAGAACTAGGTTCTCCTTAGTAGACATTAAAGGGATATAGAACTCCTCACAGGGATGCATGTCATCCACTGTCTTTCATGTCAGAGTTTTAAACTGAAAACTTACAATGAAAACTGATGGAGTTGCAGCTGTTTAGGTCAAACTTTGAAAATAATGTGCCCAATCTTATGCAATACTATGAGATGTCAGGCTCAGAATTGGTCTTTTAATGACCCTCAACTACTACCACTTTAAATTTAACCTCAGTTTGAGTTATAGTATTTTTTGTGTTCAATAAGCTGCATAAATTTTATTTTATTTAATTGGAAAAATATACATGGAGTGATTAGTTTCTGACAGTTTTATCAATACCTGCCCTGTGATTCATGACATATTTTGCTAACAGACGGGCACTGTTGGCAACATTATTGCCAAAGTTTTAAGCAAGGATGTTGAGCAACGTGTGTGGAATATCTCATGAACTTCTTAGACAGATTTTCGCAAGTGTCTGTAGAATTACCGTATTTTCCGGCGTATAAGTCGCTCCGGAGTATAATTCGCATCATGAAGAGGAAAAAAAAAGTAAATAAGTCACTTCGGTGTATAAGTTGCATTTATTATGCATCACTGCTAAACGTGGGCTGGTGTTGTGCCAAAAATCGGCCGTGGGAAGGATTTGCTGTTGCAGTTCTTCAAAATTTAACAAGGTTAACACTTAAAAACAATTATTGTATTTGTTTGCTCGACATTAAAGCAAAGGTGTGTCTCGTGTCAGTTTCAGTTTCATGTCAGTATGAATGAACATTTAAAGCGTCTGTCAAAAATTACGTCATGAATATGGAAAAAAAAAAAGTATATAAGTCGCTTTGGCGTA